TCTGCTTCCTCCCACAATCCCGTGCAAATGCAAAAAAAGAGAGAGAGAGAGAGAGAGAGAGAGAGAGGGACTGAGTGGCTAAGCTCTAGCAGAGCCTGGGGGTGTAAGGCGCAGCGCTTGTACAGAAAACTAGCTCTGCCACGCGCAGAAGCTCTCGGAACGAGGTTCAGTTCATTAATTTTTATTTATTTTTGCACTGTTTCAGCCTTTTTCGGATGTGGGGGGGTCCTTTTTCCAAAGAGTCTTTATCGAGGGGAACAGCTCAACTACCGTTCCCCGGGTGCAACATAAGCCTGCCTCCTCCAGCACCCTTTCAAATAAGCCCCCCACCCATTTCCCGGGTTATGAAGCGCCCCTTTTCGCACACAGGGGCTAGAGGAAGACACGCGTGTGCACGGGAGGGGCTTTCCGCGTGTACGTGCCCCGTGGCACCAAAGGGCAATGGTCGAGTCACATCTGGCCGCACGCAGGTTGCACACCCGGCCTGGCGCATGCCCATCCTGAGGACCGGACTGGCCGGTGGCCCCCCCACGTGGGACAGCGTGGGGGCGCGCTAGAAGGCACCCGGGCTCTGCAACACGTTAGTGCGTGTATCTGTAAGCGGCGGAAACACGTGTGCCAGGGTAGGCCTCGGGAGAGACGACCCCAGATCGCCTCCCACCTCCAGCTCAGCTCGGGACTTTAAGAGGCCTGGGGGCTTCCGGAATCCGTTGTGTATCGGGGGCACGGTTCGGGGAGCCCGGCTCCGCAGCAGCTCTTCACTGAGGCCTCCTGAGGCTACAAGGGGAGGGTCACAGTAGGGAGTCAAAGATCTGGCTGTTTCCCCACCACCAAGATTGGTGTTTCAGCCAATCCCAGACCTTCTGGGCACAAGCCCCACCCTTCCATATACAAGTAATGCTCCACACTTGCAAGGCTGGGCCACGCCCCTGTAGACAATTGCTCAGGGACCCGCCCCTACACTTCAAGCCCTGCCCCCAGGTTATCCGCCCCAAATTCCAAGTCCCGCCCTGAGCCACGCCCCTCCTATTGGGCCCCGCCCCTGGTCGCAGCTCCGCCCCTACCTTGAGTAAGGGGGTGGAGGTGCGTCGTGCACCCCTGAAGCTGCCAGCGCCTGCTCGTAGGTCGGGAGGCCTGGGGGTCCTGGTGGAGGCAGGGGCGTCGGAGGGCTCAGAGGGCTGATGAGGCTGCTCCTGGAGACAGAAAAGGTGGGCTTGATGGGAGAAACCATGATAGAGACGGATGGTACAGAAGATAGAGACTGTGAGATGCAGAGCGAGGGTGGCAGGTCATACAGATGGAAAGGAAACAAACCAGAGGGAGGGAGGATCACCTTCAGCCTAGCCCTACGAGCAGAAGAGCACCTGAAATGGCAGGCTGGGTACATGGCAGGTAGGCAGAGAAAAGGTTATAAGGACTGGGGACTTAGCTCAGTGGTTCCAGCGCCTGCCTCGCAAACACAAGGACTGGAGTTCAATTCCCAGTAACAAAAAAAATTTTAGATTGCATAAAAAAGGAAAGGGGGGAAAAAAAAACGGCCCAAAAAGGAAAGAAATAAAAAAACCCAAACAGCTGGGCGCGGTGGTGCACACCTGCAATCCCAGCATTCTGGAAGGCTGAGGCAGGAGGATCACAAGTTTGAGCCCAGCCTAGGCAACTTGGCAACTTAGTGAGACCCCGTTTCAAAAAGGGCTGGGAATCTCACTCAGCGTGAAGGCCCTGGGATCAATCACCAATACAAAAGGAAAGAAGGAAGGAAGACAGACCCACAGACAAAGCCTTTCATTCACAGATCCATCAGATGACAGGCAGAGTAATGGAGAAGCATCCCTGCAGACAGGCAGACAGACAGACAGACAGAAGTCAGAACTCAGCAGATCCTCAGACAGGAGTACAAAAGGTCACACTCATCCTTTAAAAAAAAACCCAGACCCACCACACTTTGACATTCAGACCCCTTTGAGGCCCTGCAGTGAGAGACACACCTAGGCCACTCACAGCACACAAACACATGCTGCGCCCCATCACCATGGAAACTGACAGGCCACAGGCAGCCGTGGACCACAGGCTGTACAGTAACAGCCTTGCCACAGACGGTATCCTGAGTGATGCCAATGGCTCCCTGAACCTGGAAGCCCGAAAACAGACAGGTGGCGAGTGTGAACAGACTACTGTGTGCAGGACAGACAGACTCACTCCCTACATGCCTGTCTCTTCTGAGCACTCCTCGTGCGTGCCCTTCTAACCCCCAATCCTCAGCCCTAGACCAAACCTTCCACCCTCTCTGCTCTCCTTCTCCCCAAGCCCCCTTACTCTTGGGGACTCAGGTGCAGCCTTGGGTTCTGGTGCCGTTGTCGATAATGCAGATACCAGAAGGCTCCCAGGCCGACCAACACGATGAGCAGGATGCCAGATGTCAGCCCCACAGCCAGGCCTGCTCCGTCCACTTGTCTATGCCCTGTGCGGAAGGGGAGCTGCTAGGTCATGGGTTGCCAGACTCCTGCATCCTAATCCCACACCCTGCAAGGAGTGGAGGGGGGGCACCTCCTACTCCTGTGACTTCAGGCAATTCTAGCACATTTAAGGGGACTGTGGTCACTCCCTCTAGAATTAGGAAGTAGGGAGCCTCAGACCCAGGACAACACAGGCAGGACCTCCCTGGACATGGGCTGCTGCTAGTTCCCAAGAGTCAGGGGCACCTCTTCTAAGTGACTACTTGCAAAGGTAGCAATTCACACACTGAAGAAAGGGTGGAGAGCTCTGAGGGCTGCTGGTTTCAAGAGGCCCCTGACCCAGGCATGGTGGCCCATGCCTGTAATCCAAGCATTGCAGGAGGCTGAAGCAGGTAGGTCACAAGTTTAAGTCCAGCCTGGGCAACTTAGCAACTTACTGAGTCCCTGTCTCAAAGTTTAAAAAGTTGGGGATGTAGGTCAGTGCAAAAGATCCTTGGTTTCATCTTTGGTACCACAAAAACAAAGAAGATCCTACACGAAGCTCTGTCAAATGCAACCAGTACTAATAAGGCACCCGTTAAATGACATCCAGATACAAAATTATTTATTTATTTATCGGTACTAGGAACTGAATCTAGGGCCTTTGTACTGGGCTAAATCCCATTTATTTATTTATTTTAAAATAAAGCAATTAAATCACTTAGTTATCCTGGCTAAGGTCAAAACTGTTATCCTGCCTCAGCCTCCCACAGTGCTGAAATTACAGGCATGTGCCTAGCAAAAACAAATACATTTTGGTATATCTCTCAAAGTATCTGGGATATAACTATACCTGAAAATTCTTTTGTAGTGCATCTGAAATGTAAATTTGCTGGTGAGGGAGGGGGCACAGAGGGAGAGGAGGCTCTGGTATTTTTTCCTGGCATCTCTACCTGCTCTGGAATGCAACTCCTGCCGATGAGGCAACTGAGGGACAAGGCCTCAATTCTAATCAATAATCACAATCTACAGGAAGGCTTCCCAGGGAAACGCCCCCTCAAATAATTGCACGTCTAGAACTCAAGTGGGCCTGTTGATAAAATGCAGCCCCTCTCAGCGTTCCAAGGGCACAAGGGACCTCAGGCTTTCCAGCACTTGCTACTAGGGACGCCAGGGTCTTCCCACTGAGCTACGTTCCCCATTTTTTTTTTTTTTTTAATTTTTAGACTTTCAGGCAGGGTCTTGCTAAGTTGCTAATCTGCCCAGGCTAGGCTCCAACTTGCCATGCTCCTGCCTCAGCGTCCCAAAGTGCTGGGATTACAGGCGTGTGCCACCATGCCCAGCTGGGGGACACTTCTTTTGGCATTGGATGGAGAGCTTCCTTCAAACAGTAAACCCTGGGAATTTTACCCATTTTAGGAAAAACCTGCACTGAGAGGCAAAGTTGTCCTGATTCACGGACTGAAGAAGCCACTAGGCCTCACTAGGCCTGTAGCGAAGGAACTGCCTCCCCTTAGCAACCAGGCTCCAATGTGAGGGCTCCGGCCCAGTCCTAGGGCCTGTTGCTAAGGTGCTTCCACCCCTAGCAACCAGGCCATGAGGGGGTGGGGCATCTGGTGCCCAGAGGGGGTCCTCCAGTGGGCAAGAAGCCTTGGCTACTCCAACTAGGTGCAGTTGCTAGGGAGAAGGCCTCCTTAGCAACCAGGCTGCTGCAGCTGGGATGGGATTGTGGGGGAGGGGAAGACAGCCAGGTAGTGATTGGGGCTTCCTCAGGCTGGCCTGGCCAGACCCTGTTGCTAAGGAGCAGCCCCCCTTAGCAACAAGGCTGCAGTCAAGATGGAGCCTCAGAATTCAGAGGAGGGGCTGGGGGCTGGCAAGGCGGCAGGGTGGACAGGACAGGTGAGGGTGGTTAGGCTTCTGGCCCTGGCCCCACGTTGGGGAGCAGCAACCCCCCAGCAAGCAATAGGCTCTGAAGGGGCTGTGATCTGGACTCCTAAGGAGGACGCCTTCAGAGGGGTCCTGTGGCTCTAGCCCTCCCCTCTGCGGCACCAGTCCCCTTCCTTCAGACTTGGGGACTTCTCCAAATGCAAATGCAGGGTGGTGGACTTCTCAGACAGGGTTCCACTGTCAAAGGAGGGGACTCCTTAATGATCATCGGCAGGGAGCATGAATGAGGGGTCCGATAAGGGTTGGGTCTGACTCGGGGTGGGGGGCACTGCTTGGCCTCCGGGGGAACCGGCAGTCAGCACCGCACAGAAGGTGAGGTCGTGAGCCCCACTTACCTCCTTTGCCATTGTAGGGGTAGGTCTCCCAAAAGTGCTTCTTGAAGGGTGGGAGGGGAAGAGAAGAAGAAAGGCAGAGTTCAACTGGGAGATTCTCAGCCCCCTGAAAACTGCCCACCCTGGCCTCTGAGTTCCCGGGGAGGAAGGCGCTGAGGACCCGGATCCCCTGCCCCAGTGCCTGGACAAGGACAGGTGGGTCCCAGGCTCCAGGGTCCCCAGGCCTCACCGTCAAGGTGTTGTCCTCAAAGCACTCCCTGGCCTCCTCCCAGGAACACCGCTCTTCGTAGCACTCCCGCTCCAGGTTCCCCGGGGTAAACAGCTCCAGGTCCCAGTTATTGGCTCGTGGAACCCGCCTGAGGCCCCCCAGGAACCTGTGGGCCACCGGATGGCCAAGGAAGACTTCTGGGCCTACAGATGTGAGGGTAGCAAAAGAGAAGGTCCCTAGGCCCAAGGACAGAAGGGCGTGGAGATCTATGGGGTCCTGTGAGAGGGAGGTCTGAGGCCTGGACTCCCAGGGTGAAGGGGACTAGAGCTCATGGAAGGCAGAGTGAAGCCTCTGGTCACCAGTTCCTCCCCACCAACCTACCTTGGTCTTGTTTTTCACTGGATGAGGTATCCAGGCAGGCAGCCAATCCCATATAGAGCAGCAGCAGGGAAGGGTGGCTCCCCATATTTTGTGGACACCTGAAACCAGGTGCAAGGTAGGGGACCAGTGCCTCAGCCTCTGGAGAATAAGGCAAAGGGTCACTGCTTGGACCCTGAGGTCATACATGAAGGCAAGAGCAGGTGTTGCCTCAATCCATTTTCACTTCCCCAGCAGGTCTATTGTGCCCGTTTTATAGATGAAGAAACTGAAGGCACAGAATGTAAAATAACTGGATGATAGGCACACAGCTTGCAAATATCTGAGCCAGGATTTGAGGGAAGGCAGTGTCTTCGGAGAGGAGGGCAGATGGAGCTTTCCTTTCTGTGCAACACCCAACACAAGGGCTGGTGTGCAGCAGGTGCTCAGACACAGCTCCCTTGATAGCTGGGATTCCTTCCACCGCCCTGGCAACTTCCACTTACGCCTCTCCCTGCCCATTGCTACATCCACTCCCAGAGATCAAAGATCACAGGCCAAGCAAGCGCCTATATACTTGGGTCTGAAGCCATGAGGGGGCAGCAGCCCTGATCTCCTGACACTGGGAGCCCCAAACCTATGGGTCTTAGAAGGGTGGGGGCCAGTATACTAGGGTCCCAAAGCCACGCTCCGTCTCCAGGAACACGCGCTTACCTGCCCAGATGTGTGAACACTGCTATTCCTCTTTAATGGAGACCTCCTCAGCCAGCAGCAGCCACCTGTGAGGGGAAAGGTGGGGAGGGAGGAAGGGTCCCCAGCTCCCAGTGCTAAGGAGACAGATCAGTTTCTGGTAGTGGGGCGGGGCTTTCATTACCTGCCCTGGGCGGGACTCAGGTAAGGGACAAATCATTTAAAGGGACCTTAGGAGGAAGGTTCTAAGCGCCAGAGCTCCTTAGAGAAGCTGAGGTGTCTGCCACCGTAGGGGGCTCGGGGGATTGGATTTACACGTCCTCCTCCCTCTTGCCTCCGCGTCCCAGGCCTGTCCACAAACTGCAAACCTGCCTGGCTCGGCTAGGAAAATAAATGCGAGAGTCTCTAGATATCTAGAAACTGGCGGAAACGGCGTGCCTTGGTTCCTGCGATAGCAGGAAAATTCCTTAATAAGTCCCTGCTTCCTAAGAATGATTTGAACGGCTCTGGATTTCGATTTCTCTGTTGTTCTATCTATAAAGTGGGAACAGAAGAGAGTTCTCAATTCTCAATAATCCCTTAAGATGCATCATGAAAAATAGTATATTTAGAGCAGCAGGCATCCCAACCTCTGGTGTAAAAGGTTTCCCTAAACTTGGGTTTGGAAGGCTCAAAGCCTGGGAATCGAGCGGGAAATCTGCTCTGGGAAATAATACTATAAGTACTACGCAATACCTATATGCATGCCAGTATCATTTACCGGAACCTTCTAGTTGCAACTCACGTTTCCGGAGGGAGGAAGAAAAGAAGAAAGGACTTACCAAACCAAGCGAAGCAAATCGGCAACTAGGGGCAGCTTTATTTCCGGTCTGTACTGCCAGGCGGAAGGAGGCGGAACGGAGGGGATAAAGCAACACTCCCTTCCGGTGTAGTGGCACAGCAGAAGCGACGAGAGAAGAAAGAGTCGTTTGTGGGGTGAGTTCGAGTCGGTGAAGGGATGGTGTGGCTGAGGTCGCGTCCTGTGGAGTAGAGCTCTGGGATTCTAAAGGGAACTGGGGCTAGACTTCGGATTCCGGGCTCCCTGTCAATCATTAATTGAGCTCTCTGGGCGCGCGAAGTTGGAGGCCGAACTACATCTCCCAGCATCCCTTGGAAGTAGCCAGGGCCCGGTCGGGCCGTTCTTTGGGGAGTGTAGTTCAGCTATGGAGGACGATGCGTCTGAGTCTAGATGGAAAGAGGGGACTAGGAAACCTCGAGGGCCTGAGAATTGGTAGTTGAGAAAAGAAAACTCGTTTTTTGGCCTCACTGTCCCAGAGAGGGATGAGAAGTGCGGGCGGGCAGTAATGAGTTCTGCAGTCATCTGTGGCTGCCTTCTCTGCGTCCTTTGACAACCCCTTTTCTCTCGGGGTTGGGGTAGGGCTTACCGTTTTTTGTGTGTAGCTTTGGAATCAGGCCGACTTCGGTTTTCATCCTGATCGGGCTGCCAGTTCATTGTGAAGTTGAGCTTGAAGCGTCCTGGAAGCAGTTTAAATGTTTTATTGTGAACATGTTTAAGGTTACATAAGCTGGGGATTTAACTCAGTGGTTCCGCTGCCTCCCTTGCAAGCACAAGGTCCCAAGTTCGATTCCCTGTACCTAATATTAATAATAATAATAATAACAGCCGGGCATGGTGGCGCACACCTGTAATCCCAGCACTCGGGAGGCTGAGGCAGGAGGATCGCTGTGAGTTCAAGACCAGCCTAGGCTACATAGTGAGTTCCAGGTCAGTCTCAACTACATAGTGAGACCCTGTCTCAAAAGACCAAATAATAATAACAACAACAGTGTTACATAAAGTGAGGGTATACGCATCTCTTGCCCAGATTTGGCACCCATGATGATTTTGGCCATCCTTGCTGAATATAGTTCTTTTCTTTTTCTTTTTTGATTTTTTTTTTTTTGAGGCAGGGTCTCCCCTTTGTAGCCCAGGCTGGTCTCGAACTCACTATGTAGCCCAGGCTGTCCTCAAACTCGCAGCGATCTTCCTCTCTTAGCCTCCTGAGTACTGGGACTACAGGCGAGCGCCACCCTACCCAGCTCTCTGAATATATTTTTTCAATTTAAACTTCTCAAAGCATACCCTAGCCATCGTGAGAATTCTCTCCTAGTTTAGGATAAATGGGTAAAAACCAAGGACAGTTTCTTAACGTGATCCCACACTTTGCATATTATTCCAGTAACCACTATCACACATTACAAAAGCAATTGTCCTGCTAGAATGTGATCCATTACCAGGCCAAAATCAAATACAGTGTCTCAGAAATGTCACGAGTGTTTACGGTGCTGGTGATCAAACCCAGGGTTCACACCAAGAGTACGCTGTACCACTGAGCTATAGCCAAATACCATTTTTTGTAATACCTTAAAAAAAACCTGTTCATTTGTTTGAAGCAGGATCCTGTCAGGTGATAGCTATTATACCTTTTAAGTCTTTCTTTGAAGTCCCCTCTACTCCACCCTGATTTTTGTCTTGGTGTAATGGATTCTGCCACTGAGGAAACCTGGTTCTGTTCTGTTGATCATCCTACCATCTGGGATCTCTTTCATCCCTTCTTTTGCGTATGTTCTGCTTGTTTGTTTGATTTTTTTTTTTTTTTTTTTGCCAGGGATTGAACTTGAATCCTTGTGCTTGGGAGGCAGGCAGTGGAACCACTGAGCTAAATCCCCAGCCCTGTTTGATTTTTCAGACAGGGTCTCATTATATAGTTCAGGTTGGTCTTGAACTCAGCGATTTTCCTGCTCAGCAGCTTAAGTGCCGTGGTTACAGATGTGCACCACCATGCCTGGCTAGGGCTCTTTCAGTCCTGCCTCAGTCTTCCAGAGTGCTGGATAAGGCATGCGCCTGGCTTGGCTAACTTTTGTTTTTGTTTTTGAGACAGTGTCTAGATAGGCTGTTCAGGCTGGCCTGGAACTCACTATGTAGCCCAGGCTGGCCTCAAACTCAGGGAGATCCTCCTGCCTCAGCCTCCTGGGTTCTGGGATTACAGGTATGCGTCACCTTGCCTGGCATTGCCATCACTCTTCAAAACAAACCAGTACTATGTAAGAATAGTTGCTCCTCATTTTCTCCCAACCTTTCCTCGCCCCGCTTTACACAGCCACTGATCTACCTTCTCCCTCCATGGATTTGCTAATCTGCAGTGTCACTTACACACAGCTATACAGAAAGTGGCTTTGTGCACATGCTGTGGCAAGTGCTGTACCACTGAACTCGCTCCCCCAGACAAGATGTGCTCTTTTGTTACTTTCTTCTTTCACTTAACATGTGGTTTTTGAAGTCCACCCATGTAGCATGTACCAGAACTTTTTCTGTTTTTGTGGCCGGATCATATATCATTGTATACGATAGACCTCAAAGAAAAAAGAAAAAAAAAGACCACATTTTGTTTCTCCATCAGTTGATGGACTTCTTGGACTGTTTCCACTTTTCACTATTACAAATAGTAACACTGTTTCAGTTCTTTGTTGTATCATCTTTCATTACTGAATTACGAGTTTTTATGTGTTTTAGATACAGTTCCCTTATCAGATACTGACTATTGTAACTGCCACCTGTTTTGTTTGTTTGTTCGTTTGTTTGTGGTATCAGGAATTGAACTCAGGACCTTGAACTTGCCAGGCAGACATGGCACCACTGAGCTAAATCCCCAGCCCAGCTGCTACCTGTTTTTGTATTGCCTGCATTACTGAAGATTGAACCCAGGGCTTCTGTGATGAGCTATGTCCCTATAAATATATTTATTTTTTTTAATTCAAATTCAAATTTTGTTTTTGTTTTTATTTGTTGAGGCAGGGACTCACTATGTAATTCGAACTGGCCCTGAACTCACTATCTAGCCCAGGCTGGCCTCGATTTTGTGGTGATCCTCCTGCCTCAGCCTTCCAAGTGCTGGGATTTCAGGCATGTGTCACCATGCCTGGCTCTTAAATTTTTTTATATATTTAAAAAATTTTTAAATTTAATTTAAAAATAGTGTTTTTTCATAGAGTCTTGCTAAGTTGCCCAGGCTAGACTTAAAGTTGCAGTCCTCCTGTTTCAGCCTCCAGAGTGCTTGGATTACAAGGGCTTTGTTTATTTGTTTTTAAACATTTTTAAATAATTGTGTAAAATCAAAAGAAGAATACATTTTTTTTCCCTGGGAATCAAACTCAGGGCCACTGAGATGTATCCCTGGCCTAAGAAGAATAAATTGTGTCACCTGTGATGATTTTATGTAACACATATAATTTGTTTCCATTATGTCCAGTGACCCCCACAAGCAGACAGCCGAGTACCTGTGCTGGGCCCGTAGAGCTGCAGAGTTGCAGACAGTTATTATCCACCCTTTTCTGTCAGTCCCTTCTGTGTCCCCAACTTCCCAGGACGAGGACGTTAAACCTGAAGTCTGATTACGTTGGCTCAGCTGCGTGGGGATGACAGCCTCTGTTCTGCACCTTCTGGCATCGTGCCTGGTTGTCCCACGTTCAAGGACAGCAGGCTGGATGTCAGGGCCTTGGTGGCCTTAGGAACTGAATGTTGTTTTCTCCCCGGTTAATATGTGGAGGCCCTGACCCCTGGTGTGGCTGTATTTGGAGTGGGCCCTCTTTGGGAGGGATTTTGATTGAATGAGGTCATGGGATCAGGCCCTCAGCTGGTGGGACTGGTGTCCTTAGAAGAGGGAGACTCTCAGGGCTGGGCGCACACCTGTAATCCCAGAACTTGGGAGGCTGAGGCAGGAGGATCACTATGAGTTTGAGGCCACCTGGACTACATAGTGACTTCAAGGCCAACCCAGACTGCGCAGTGAGACCTTGTCTCTAACCTCTTCCCCTAGAAAGAGGGAAGCTCCCAAGTCTGACTGCCTGGATTGCAGTCCCAGCCCTGCCACCTCCCAGCTGGGGGATTCGGGAGCCCATTTGGGCCTGTGAAGTGGGCTCATGCTGACCAGAGCTGGCATTGCGGTGGCTCCCACCCTGGCTGTCCTCTCCGAAGTGCTGGTGACAGCAGATGGCAGTAGTTCTGTTTTCTATTTTGAAGTTGGGCCTGGTGAGGAGCCGATGCAGTGGGGTGGGTGCAAGCTCAGCTTCCGGAGTTGTGAAATCCTGGCCCTGCCACCCGGCAGCCCTTCAGCCCTTGGCAGAGGTTCTCACTTTGGTTTCAGGATCTAAGAACTCGCGGGGACCTGCAGAGGGCGTGGTTTGTGGAGCTACACCGATCAGTGTTTGCCATATGGGATATGGAAACCGAGATGTTAAAGAAGTGATTGGTGCCAGAATGTGCCCCCCACTGAAACTTGCAATCCTGTGGGGTTTAGTCCGTCTGTCCTGTTGTGGACCCTTTGCCACGTGTTCCAGAGCATTTCATTGCCCCCAAAACAAACCCCGTGTCCAGAGCAGACCCTGTGCACTCCTTCCCTGGCTCGGCCTGTGGCCACCACAGAACTACTTTCTGTCGCTTCACCCCGGCCTGTCCCCGACCCTGCCTGCCAGGGGGACACAGACAGCCTCCCGGGCTTTCTTTCCCTGGGGAAGTAACACAGGTGCCCTCCACACCTTTATTTTATTGTTTTGGGGATTGAACCCAGGGCCTTGGAACTGTGCTACATCCCTAGCCCTTTTTAATTTTTTCATTTTGAATGGGATCTTGCTAAGTTGCCTAGGCTGGGCTTGAACTTGTGATCTTCTTGGCTCAGTTTCCAGAATGCTAGGATTGTAAGTGTTCACTGGAGGCTGGGGATTTAGCTCAGTGGTTCTGGCGCCTGCCTCACAAGTGCAAGGTCCAGAGTTCGATCCCCGGTACCCACACACAAAAAAATTGGGGCCAGGGATTTGGTTCAGTGATTCTGCTGCCTGCCTTGCAAGCACAAGGACCCAAGTTCGATCCCTGGTACCAAAAAATAAAAAAATAAAATAGGTGTTCACCACCATGCCTAATTTTAAAAACACTTTTGGGGAGAAGAGCAGGGTCTCTTTATGTAGCCCAAGCTTACCTCACACTTGTGGTGATCCTCCTGCCTCAGCCTCCCAAGTGCCGGGATTGCAGGTGTGTGCCATACACCTGGCTAAAAGAGACCTATTAGGAGCCTAGGACATCGCTGTGAGTTTGAGACCAGCCTGGGCTACATAGTGAGTTCAGGTCAGTCTCAACTACATAGTGAGACCCTGTCTCAAAAAACCAGGAAAAAAAAAAAAAAAGCCTAGGACGGGGGCTTGGTACACAGCTCCATGGCTGAGACCTTGCCCTGATGTTCAAGGCCCTCAGTTTGATCCCCAGCAGAGGAAAAACAAACCACCAAGGCTGAAGGCATCCAGGCACGTCAGAACTGTGAGGGTCCACAGGTCACTCAGCCTCAGGGAACCCACGTATGCTTAAGAGAGAAGAGCAAGGCCAGGTGCTGTCCTAACAGGAAACCTCTGTGGACGCCCCGAGGCCCTGGGCCTGGCCTTGAGGACCACTGCCCTAGGCAGGTGGCTTCCCTTCCGAGTGCAGGCCTGCCCGTGGTCGTGGAGGTGGAACAGTGAGTGATATCAGGGTCCTAGACCTGCCGGGCCGTCGGATCCAGTGGTGATCCGTGGTCATCCTTGTTAACCCGGCAACATTTAAAATCCTTCCTTAGCTGTCCCCGCTCAGGGACATTTCCCACCTCACAGAGCACTCAGAGGTGCCTGGTGCCAAGTGCCGCAGGGCCAGGGCAGTTGACAACTAAGAATAGAGTCAGGAATTTGTCCCTGAGGCCAGGGCGACCTTCCCGTTGGTGAGGCGGCAGTGGGGAGGGCTGGGGAGCGGGTGGCACATGGAACGGGGGCGCGACAGGTGCTGAAGCTTACTCCAGAGGCGTGGAGGCTGGGGAGGAGGCGAGTTGGGGCGCATCAAGGTCAGATCCGCACACAACGCCATGGCCATCTTGGGGACGAGATGACAGCAGAGGGGCAGAAGGGGCCTTTCCTGGCACTGGAGGTGCTGCGTATGCCCGCTTGGAATCCCAGCACCCTGGAGGCTGAGACAGGGGGATCGTGGCAAGTTTGTGGCCAGCCCGGACTATGTAGTGAGTTCGAGGCCAGAAGCACAGGGAGACCCTGTCTCAAAAAAAGAAAAAGAAAAGAAAAACAAGGGCAGGGGATAGAGCTCAGTGGCGCTGCTCCTGCCTCGGAAGCGCAAGGTCCTGAGTTGGATCGCCAGTACCAGGAAAAAAAAAGAAAAAAAATGGCTTCTGAGCAGAAGACCAGTAGGGGGAGCGAGAGCTCTACAGCGCAGAGGTCGCACGTAGGTTTTGAATGTGGGAGGCAAGTTTTTTGAAGCAGCCGGGAGAGGGCGATGAGGAGAACGCTGTCTAACCTTCCCGGAGCTCTCGGGGTGCTGGGCTCCCCAGCTCCTGGCCTCCCTCTGGAGGCCCCCGTAGCCAGGCTCTCGGCACGGGCACAGGTCCTCACAGCTCTGAGGTCCGAAGATCTACACCCTGCTTGATTCTCGTTTTTGACCAAGGAAAACGAAGGCTCAAAAAAGGAAATCCGCAGCCCTAGCGGAATTCTCCACAAACTGAGGCTTCAACGCCGCCGCCTCGTGTCACCTGTTTATTCCCGTGTTTGTGTTACAGTGTAGTAGCCTCTTGTTTTAGGTCGCTTCCCCCACCCACCCCCGTAGCAAGGATTGAACTCAGTACCCTGCGCCTTTGCCACTGTGCTAAATCCCTGGCCCTGAACCCGCTCTTTAAAAAGTTTCATTTTAGCCCAGCCTGGGGCTGGTGCGCTCCTGTGATCCCAACACTCTCGGAGGCCGAGGCAGTAGGATCACAGCCCAGACTGTGCAATTTAGCGACTTAGACAAACACTCAAAACTTTGTGTGTGTGTGTGTGTGTGTGTGTGTGTGTGTGTGTGCACGCGCTAGGGTCAAACTCGGGCCCTTGTACTTGCGAGGCAGGCGGAGCAACCACTGAGCAGTCCTCTGGCAAAACATAAAAATGAAATATTTTCATTTTGTGAGCTCACAGACTTCCTTGACACCCGTGGTGTTGAGTTCTTGTTTCTTCACCCACCCTGCTGCCTGGTCCCGAAATGGCCTGCACCCTACTCACTCTGCCTCCCCCAGGGAGGAGCGGCGGGCCTGGACTCCCCTCCGGAGTGGACAGCGTCCCCTCCCGTGCTGAGGGGTTCAGTAACGTCACCCCATGGTTCGTGTCGGTGGCCCCTCCTGCGCTTACTGAGCCTTCCCAGGTCTCATTCACTTTTCTGTTGAGGAAGCTGTTTACCTTCCTGTTGCTTTGGGGCAGTTTCATGTATAGTCAGTTGTGCTGTAAAGCTTGTTTTTTAGGATTCTCTGAGTGTGTGCGCGCGCGCACGTGCACTTTGTTTTTTGAGACAGGGTCTCCGTGCTAGCCCAGGCTGGCACTGAACATGCAGCAATCCTCCTGCCTCAGCTTCCTGAGTGCTAGAGTTACAAGCAAGTGCTACCATACCCCACCTCCTGCATGTGTCTTTCAGCTTTGCTGACAGAGTTTCTGGGTACCATTCATACCCCATTTTCTCAGTAATCTTTGTGGGTCCCACTGTGAGTTCTCCAATGGCTATGATTTTAGGACGAAAGAACACGGCAAGGCTGATGTGGGACATTACAGGTGCCTGCCCCAGCACCACGTTCTCCATAGCCTCATGTGCAAGGTGCGGTGCCTCTCTGGCCTGGCCTGGCCTGGCTCAGAGGGGCCACCGGGACCCCTGCATAAAGTGGGGAGCTTGGGGATGTGTAGGCCCCAACTCTGCATGGAGAGCAAGGACAGAGTATCACGAAGGGTAAATCCACACGCCTTCTGAACCGGCAGTTCCACTTTGAGTAATTTACCTTAGGGCTGGGTCGTAGCTCAGACCGAGAGTGCTTGCATGGTGTGCACAAGGCCCTGGGTTACACCCCTGGTGCCACACACACACACACACACGGATCCTAGCTGGCATGGTGATACAAGCCTGTCATCTCGACACTCTGGAAGGCTGAGGCAGGAGGACACAAATTCAGGCCCATCCTTAGCACTTTAGTAACTTTGTGAGACCATATCTCAAAGTAAAACATGAAAAATGGGCTGGGGATGTAGTTCAGTGTGAAGGCCCTGGGTTCAGTCCCCAGGACTGCAGAACAGAGAATTTATAGGCAAGGCACTTTTCTCCTGCGCACTGACAGGACGAGGAAGGGCACAGTGGGCTCACAGGGCCTTCAACAAGAGGGCTCCAGGCGGCCTCTCCCTGGGTACTGTACACATAGCTACATGGTGAACACACCCATGTCACCCGCTCCCCTCCCAGATCACCAGAGCCATCCTGCCACCTCCCAGGAGCCGCCCGGCCCCTCCCTGCCTCAGCTGCCCTCACAGGAAGCCTGGCTTGAGGCTGTGGTGACTTTTGTGAGCTGTTGAATTCATACACATGGAAACACCCCACCTGTGAGGTGCTTGGTGTGACAACAGGGTGTTCTGTGTGGTTGCTGGGCACACCCACTATGTGACTGTGCCCGTGAGCAGTTGGGGAGTATCTGGTACTTTTTGTTGTTTTGTACAGATAAGGTCTTAGTAGCCCAGGCTGGCCTTGTACACAGAGCGATCCTCCTGCCTCAGCTTCTCAAGTGCCGGGGTCACAGGTGTGCACCAGCACTTCTAGCTTGGGTAGTTTCCATTTTACCAGGACTGTAGTGTCCTGCCGTGCACAGCGGCGCCCCCTTCTGTAGGGACAGAGAAGAGGGGAATTGGCTGCAGGCTGTGGGCCGAGGCGCGCTGAACTCAGTACCCACGGGCGGTTGATCTGTGGCAGCAGAAGCTCTGGCCTCAGGACCCAGGGGCTCAGTGCAGTGTGTGAAACAGGGCTGGGGCTGTAGCTCATTGCAAATGCCCTGGGTTCATTTTCCCAGTGTGAAAAATAAAAGAGAGAGAGGTAGCCCAGTGGAAAGTGTGATGGAGATACAAGTTCAGAGGAAAAGGCAAGGCTTAAAGTGACTCCCTCCCAGCTGAGGCTGCAGCGGCCGGGGCACTTGCCTCCTCATGGGAGGCCGGGGACCCCAGCACCAGCTCGAAAAGTTTCCTGCCTTGGAGCAGAGCTTTCGCTCCCTTTTCAAGCAGATAATGATAGGTATGGAATCACGCCAGGCTTAACAGTGTTATTTCAGGAGGAGGGTTACATTGTGCGGGAAAGTGTATCCTTTGCAACCAGGCTTAGGGAGAAACTCTAGGTGATAATTTAAAGATGAGGGAGACAGGGCTGGGGATTTGGCTCAGTGGTGCCGCCACCTGCCTCAAATGTGCAGGATGCCGAGTTCAATCCCTGGTACCCAAAACAACAACAAAAAAACAGGCTCCCGGGCATGTGTGGTGGTGCATGTGTGTGATCCCAGTGCTTGGGAGGCTGAGGCAGGGGGGTCACAGTGTAAAGACGCTCAATTCAAGTCCCAAGACCACAAGAAAAATTAAGTGGCACAGCCGCCACCTAGTCTGCATCCTCCTGACAACCGTCTCCTTGTTCAGGGTTGTGTTTCAGGGAACATTCGGGGACATCTTTGAGGGAAGGGGTCACCACAGCCTGCACTGTCCCTTCCTCCCCGGGATGACTCGGCACGGCAAGAATTGCACAGCGGGGGCCGTATACACCTATCACGAGAAGAAGAAGGACACAGGTACTGCGCTGGGCGGGGGGCTGTCCCTGAGGGGAAACTGAGGCCTGCAGCACTGCGGGCCCTTGAGCTTGCTCACAGAAGCAGGAAAGCTGACGGGCGGCAGCTCTACTTGGTGACAGGGCCTTTGTTTGTTTATTTATTTGGAGTTGTTCAGGGTTTCACTGTGTAGCCCAGGCTGGGCTTGAACTCACAGAGATACTCCTGCCTCAGCCTCACCAGTGCTAGAATTACTGGTCTGCACAGTCTCCCTGTCTCTTGGCACTTGGAGAGGGCTGTGTCCATTACCACCCAGCTCTCTCCCCAGCGGCCTCAGGCTATGGGACCCAGAACATCCGGCTGAGCCGGGATGCGGTGAAGGACTTCGACTGCTGCTGCCTGTCTTTGCAGCCCTGCCATGACCCTGTTGTCACGTGAGGCGCTGGGGCGGACAGGATGGAGGCAGGGGTGGAGGGGCTGCGGGTGTGGCTCCGGCCAGGCGACCTCCATTCTCCTGCGAGCCATGGGTGCAGCCCGCCCCGTTCTCGCTCTCCTGGTGTAGGGAGGAGCCCACCTTATTCGTAATGGGGTGTGGGCCCAGGGATCTCGTGTGACTGTGACCCCAGCACACGTGGTGCCGCGGTCCTCCTGCCTCAGCCTCCCAAGGGCTGGGGTCATAGGCGTGTGATCTGTGTGCCTAGTCTGGCGTTTCTCGTCCTGCAGCCCAGATGGCTACCTGTATGAGCGTGAGGCCATCCTGGAATACATCCTGCACCAGAAGAGGGAGATTGCCCGGCAGATGAAGGTGACAGGGACGGGGTGAGGGCATGGGTGGCCACTGCTCCTTTCCTGTCTTCGCCAAGCTGTTCCCTCTGTCGGGCACTGCTCCCCTCCACTCCAGCATGCCAGCCTGGCCTTGCCTGCTCGGATCTCTGGCCGGTTTCTAGGGCCAACCTGGGCACCTCTCCCGCTCAGCTGTGAGCCTGCTTGTGCTGTTGCCTGTGGCCTCCCCCGACAGTGGCCGGCAGGAGCAGTCGAGTGGGAGCTGGGCCACCCAGGCAGACACTTGAGGGCGCAGCTTCCTGAGATGGAAGCTTGCCGGGCCTGAGCCTCCTTCCCTCATCTGCCTGCTTTTCCAGAGATCAGGAAACACCAGGGTCAGGTTCATGTTGCTGTTTTTTTGTTTTGTTTTGTTTTGCGGTACTGGAAGCTGAACACATGAACTTTGCACTTAGCTGCATCAAAGCTTTTTCATTTTTTACTTTGAGACAGGGTCTCACTAACTTTCTGAACTCCTCAGAGTGGGCTTGAACTTGAGATCCTCCTGCCTCAGCTTCCCAGGGTGGTGGGATCACAGGCCTGTGCCACCATGTGCTACTTCTAAGCACTTTTTTTTGCCTTGGTACCGGAGATCGAACTCGGGACCATGTTCATATGAGGCAGGCGAGGTGCCACTGAGCTAATCCCTGGCCCTGCTAGGTACTTTTAAAACTCCTTGGACATGGGACACTCCTGTGGTCCCATCATCTCTGAGGCTGAGGCAGGAGGATGAGTATTTGAGGCCAGCCTGGGCTAAGTAGTGAGACCCTTTCTTGGACGGGGCACTGAGTATTGAACTCAGGACCTTGCGCCTGCATTACCACTGAGCTAAACCCCTGGGCTGAGGCCCTATTACTAAGATAGCTTTTTCCAGGCGGGGATTTAGCTCAGTGGCACTGTGCCTGCCTCGCAGGTGCAAAGTCCTGAGTTTGATCCCTGGTACCAAATAAAATAAAATCCCCTTTTCCTGCCATCCCGAGCCGTTCACGGAGAAACTGAGTGTGGGCGGCCCCTCCGTACAGGGCACCGTCTGCCCTCGGCCAGTCAGGCCTCAGTTTCCCCGCGGATTGCGCCTCGCAGGCCTACGAGAAGCAGCGCGGCGCACGGCGTGAGGAGCAAAAGCAGCTGCAGCGGGCGGCTGCGCAGGACCAGGCGCGTGGCTTCCTGGAGAAGGAGGCGGCCATCGT